CGACCCCGAAAGCTAGACTGAAAACATATGGAGAGAGAGCATTTGCTGTGGCGGCACCGAGACTATGGAACTCGATCCCACTTGAACTAAGATCCAGTCATTCGATTGACTTTTTTAAACGGCATTTAAAAGCATATCTTTTTAAACAAGCTTTTTAACTCTTTTAATTTTTAGATGATTTTTTAATTTTTTTTCCCCTCCCCTTTTTTAGCTTTTTAAATATTTTTTTTTATTTAATGTAAAGCGCCATGGACAAATAGTGGATTTGCGCTATATAAATATTTTATTATTATTATTATTATTATTATTATTATTATTATTATCAAGATAACCGAGAACATTTTCAGTCACGTGGCCAGCAGCTGGGCATGCAAATTTATTGGACCAAAAGAAAGTGTCTACATAAGAAAAGAGCTCAAGTCCAATAGGATTGTTTTGGTACACCAGCATGGCCGTAAGAGGGAGAGGAAGCTTAAGCAATGGTGACGGTGACCTCGAGGAGAACGCCTAGTTAAAAAAAAAAACTTTGTATTGTATAGATTTGTTCTCCGTGTGTTCTCTGTTTTCTATGTGCTCACTGTGATATGTCTTCTCTTCTGGCAGATTGTTCTGATCTGCTAAAATCAGGCCATACTAAGAGTGGATTGTACTCTGTCAACCCAGACGGTAGAGGACACTTTACTGTCTACTGTGACATGCGCACTGACGGTGGAGGCTGGACCGCCTTTCAGAGAAGACAAGATGGCTCGGTAGACTTCTATCGGGGATGGAACGACTACAAAGCAGGCTTTGGTCAGCTGACTGCTGAGTTCTGGTTAGGAAACGACAAGATCCACCGTCTGACGGCCTCTAGACGGAGCTCTCTACGAGTGGAGCTGGAGGACTGGAACGGAGTTAAAACGTACGCCAAATATGGCAAGTTCAACATTGGTAATGAGCAGGCGCAGTATCGACTTGAAGTGGGTTCATATTAGGGTACAGCGGGAGATTCGTTAGCATCGCATAATAACATGGCGTTTACGACAAAAGGCCGAGATAATGACAGATCTGGTGCCAACTGTGCTGAACATAATACAGGCGCCTGGTGGTACAACGTTTGCTTCAGATCCAATCTAAACGGACAACATCTGGGTGACAAACGTGATAACCGAGGAGCCAGTTGGAGCGGCTTCAGAGGTTCTCTTTCTCTCAAATTGACTGAAATGAAACTGAGGCCGTTATCGTAGAAAGAATTTTAGTAACAGGGTTAATCCTGTTGATGATATAGGTGCCAACATGTCAATGATCTCTGCCCATCGTAGTCGCAGCTTTTAACAATATTAGTTGAACAAAATCAATGATTAGTTGTCATTTTTCGTAATGTATTTTGAGAGGAATTTTCATAATTGTACATTTTGCGAAAGCGATGGCATAACGATAATCCTGTGATTTCCCTGATCGAGATTCTTTCAAACGCAAATCCAAAATGACATTCGGACATTTACGTTTTCGAATTCGTTTGGCGTAGAGAAGACGGGGTCTACTGAAGTCAGTTCGAGTACGCGTTATATATCGGCTACAAACACAAGCCATATAACAAAGGTTTTTTAAAGACTAGTCTCTAAACTGTGCGACTAAATGTTATGATTGGGCGTCGCTATAAATTACAAACTCAAGTACTAGAATTAATAAAGTTCTCTAAATGAATGAGAGAGCTTGTTGATTTATCTTATTTTGATCCAGCAATTTGGCATTGGTTAAATTAAAATCTTCAAAGTACCAATTGAAAACGTTTCTGAAAAGTTTCTGGCTAGTAGATGCCAACTCCTCATTTCGTATATACATCGTACGTAGTCACGCACTGCTAATGTGGTAGATTTTTTTTCTAAATTAGTTCTGCTACATTCTACAAGATATGATTGATGGCCAGAACAAAGGCAGGAAGTCCAGTGCTCGCTATGGCAGACAGCGCCATTGATGGGACACCTGCTAAGGTTAAAATGAAAAAGAAATTAAAAAAGGAAAGCAAAATTAGGTCGCATACATAACTTAATGCATACCCAACGTCACAAAAAAAATGCCGGAACAAGTCATTGAACAGTTTTGCCTTCAGTATTTTGCTGTTCCTTCGTTTGCGTCCTCTTTTCATAACGGAAAATTAGTAAGTGTTTTCCAAAGAATTAAGAGAAAATGTATATTGGTTTTAAAATACCCCGGCCTAAAAATGTCGATATATAGACGCTTTATTGATTGTAGCATTCCGCTCTCTGTTTCATTAAGTCTATAACAACATGATTTTATACATTATGTTTATACACTATGTTGTGTTTGGCTGGACTAATGTTGGAGCCAGCTGTCCATTGTAATAACTACTAGTACAACACTCGATTTCACATTCGAGTTGGTATAATTTTTCTTCGATAAAATAACCACCGATTATGGCACAGGCTGCTTTCTTATCTGGAAAATTGAAAATCAAGCACCAATTAAAAAGTTAGCCAAATTGAAAGGGAGTACACCGAATTGCAAATAAGGCGTACTACTTGGATGGCCCGGGACTAGTAGCGCGAAATCGAGACTAGTTATTTCTCAGCCGTGGTTTTTCACTTCGTTTGTTTTTACTCTACGGCTGCCTGTGCTAATGTTTTTGTTTGTTTGTTTGTTTGTTTTTATTTTGATTTTTTTAAATGTACTTTTTTTACCGTAATTGTGCAACTGTAATGTATTCCGACAGTTTTTAACATCAAAACATGTATGTATGTACAGCAAGATGATCTACCTATAAATTGTTATGTGCGCTTATAATTTTACAACATTTACGCCCGAGCGCGCGATCAGAGCCGCGGGTTAGATTACTTAGTACACAAATCAGTCTGGTTAGTTTTATCTACCTTTTTTACTTTGAACGTTAACTCACTGTCACAGTTGACACAGTTTCGATAAAAGTGATCCTTGATGCTTCCATCCTGATGGCGATATTTCCCCACGGCGGAACCACAATGAGTCCTGCCGAGTGACCAAAGAGATGAGCAAGTTTGATTCCACTGGTACTTCGAACAAGAGGCTGCATCATTAGCCAAACAGAAATAACATTCTGCTGGACCAGAAGCTGTCAGATTAAAAAAAAAAAAAAAAACATAACATAACATACGAAAAATCATACGAAAAAATACGAAAAGTGAAGTAATTTAATCGACGGTTATAATAAGCGTGTAGCCGGACTTACCAGCCACGGTTCCATATGCAAAAGAATGGATCACATGAAATTGAAATTTCGAGAGATTTTGGGCATGCAGAACTAAGATGAGGTCAGTTTTATGAATCACCGATTTAAGTGTTTGAAAAACAAACAAACAAAGACGGACGGACGGACGAATGGACAATAACAATTTTTTTTTTTGAAAAATGTCATGAAACAACAAAGCCCGCATCCATCGATAATTCAGCCAGGCAAGGCGTGACCCACGAGCGTTCCGCCCGGACAGCTTAAAGACGGCGGTCTGTTCTTTTGTATGGCAGCATGAAAATGTAAAAAACTATGCGCACGCACAAAATACCAGGCGCGCCTTTTGGCGGGAAATTTGTTAGCGTGACGAATGTTGCAAATAAAATCAAGGGGTTATTTT